AGGGTTTAGGGCTTCGGGCTTAGACTTTAGGGTTTTAGCTTTATATCTAAAACGTTTAGGGTTTGGGGTGTGTTTTTGGGGTTTGGGTTTTGGACATCAGGTTTGCAACACGTCCTGGGATTCCAACGGAACCTAACTCGATATTTGCAGCACTAAAATGCTAGGGCACGGACGCGCGGATTACTCATAACCCACTTATGACTGCCCCTGTAACCCAATTATATGTCCGGTAAGTTCCCCTAAGTAGAGTCATAATTAGGTTGCTGTCACAGTTATATGTAGGTTACAGGCAACATGCCCTGAAAGTAGCGGAGAAGGAACTCATCGTAATCAAGCAGGAGCATCACAACACTTATCACAAAACAGAATACCACCATACCAACGAGAAGCATCTAGTCATGGGTTCCCCTACTACCCCCTCTATACTAGCCTCCTAAGTTCCTCCCTTAAGTACAGTTGATTAGGAAACCCTAAACCCTAAACCCCTAAAACCCTTTTGGGTTTACGGGTTCAGTGATTATGGTTTAAGGCTTCGGGGCTTCCTACCAACCCTTTTATACTATCCTCCCTCAGACGGCCCCTTAACAAGCCTTCTTCATTCCTAAGTAAGCCTAAGTTGAGGGAGAACCTTGGGGGTAGTATGGCCGGGGGTAACTAGCAGGGGAACCTACTACTAGGGGAGGGCCAAGGCCAACCCCAAACCCTAACTCAGGATTTAGGATTTAGGGTTTAGTAAGCCCGAGGAAGGCTAACACAAGCAGTAAGGATCGTGCTGACACCCGCGGATGCTGCTTGATCAATGGCATCACGAATGGCTTCGACATCAGGACTTCTCCTGGAGTTCGATGGCAAGATACAAAAACATAACTTCAGTCCGATAAATACATACTCTGTACAGAACATAACGCAAATATTGTTATATGATGTATATCCATATCCTGGATGAACTACCAAGCTTTGTGAACCTGATTACACAAACCCTAGTGTTGTTGTGTATCAGACATGTGAAAAACGGCCACAAGGAAAGGACGCTACGCAGCAACTGCCACCAGGCCACAGTTGAGGCATGGGGCCCCTTTAAAAAAAAAAACACTCGTTTTTTGGTGTGTATAGGGTAAGAGTGTTTATTTGTGTTGTTGTCTGGTCTTTTTTGTTGTTTGGGCTTTTCGGTTGTTGTTTTTTTTGCTGTTTGG